ATTCAGTTTTAAAGGATAGTAGAGTGTTTTGTACTGATGGGTGTGAGAATGAAGTGGGCCGTGGGGGTAGATGGAAACATTCATTTGCGTGGAAGTTACTTACCACGGGAGTGTTTGTCACTCACGGCCCAGGTCTCCGTGCAGGGACACTCGTACATGAGTGTGGCTGTGGGTCTTGGCTGGCAGAAGCTGGCTGGAAGGAGGAGGCGTGGTGCCTTCTCCACACCCAGTGTTTTGCTAAGCTCTTTGTGACCATCTCTACTGTTCATCAGCCTATGAGCAATGCCCCTGTTTTACGGATGAGGAAGCGAAGACCTTGAGAGGCTAAAATAGCAGTGAGCAAAGTGGCGGGGAAGAGACTCAGTTCTAAGCACCTGGTTGTGAGAGTTCAATGTGAAACGCAAAGCCTGTTGTAGAAGGACCTAGGGTGGTGTAACCACTGAGGCTGTAGCTAAGCCAGTGTGTGTCCTGTTTGCCTTCTGGTACCATCTTTCATTGCTAAAGCCCCAAGTTATGATTCCCAAGAGCCTCTAACTATACATTTTTCTTTTGCTAGAACTTCTCTTCAATTTCCAAAATTATCCTTTTTCTTCTCCTTAAGTCTTAACATTAACTTTTCCCTTTTGTTCAGACAAAAGAATCTTGCTATGTGAATAATTGCACATTGTGATGGGAATCGCTGACATAGCTAGAGGAAAGTGGTAATTAATTCACGTTGGCTAAATTCAACCACAAGCAAAGTGATGTATAGTGATTAAATGTATAAAATTTAAAAAATAAAATTTAAAAATAAAGCCATACTTAAGAAAAGAAAAGCGGTAATTAAAACAAAGAGTTGGATAGGAGGAAGCAGATTCTCAGACTCGGTCAGCCCCTCATGTGCCTGGCCCCTGTACCCAATGCAGATGCGAAGAACAGGGGCCATAATCCTGGCCCCTCCTTCGCACCTGCCCCACACCACTTGTGAGCAATTTTCTAGGCACCACGGAGGCCCTGTCCACTTTTGCTTATTTCTCCCACAGTCTGTTATATAAAATGATCTCCTTTGACTTACTGGTTTACTTATTTTAAACCTTCAAATGTTTCTAGAAGAGGAAACATTTGCCATTATCCTTCACAGGAGAGATGGCCAAGACGTGACCTTGGTCTTCCCCTTTCATGACAGTCCTTGGTAGTCAACCTCAGATCTCTTCCCTGGTGTGCCTGTTTCTAGAATCCCCTCTTCAACATAGCCATTCAGAAAGTCACTCTGAATCAATTAGACTTGACCTGCAAGTTGACACTCCTAGTTTATATTGTATTTTATGTGATCGAGTTCATGCACTCTTTGAATCACAGCAAATTTTGAGCTTGAGAAAGGAAAGGAAGTGTAAGATTTCTGGATTCCGGGGGAAGCTGAGTGGTTGTGTTACCGTGTAGGCTGGGTTCTAGATGGCCTACATGTTTTTACAGTAGACATACATGACGCCCGCTGAGCGCCACTTTCCATTCTCAGTGACTCTGTGTCCCTTACACCTTGTTTCTTCACAGCAGCTTTGGGAGGGTGGGGCAACGTCTCCTGAGCAGTGGGGGAGACGGGGCCTCCATGATACCAAAATGCCTTGTCTGAGGAGAAAGTGTTAGTGAGTTCAGAGCCGCAGCCAGACCCCAAGAGTGGCAGTCTTCCCAGGGCGCTCTGGAAGCTGGACATTGTTTTCAGAGTTGAATGGAATCAGGTTGTGCTGTATAGCTAAGGCTCTTCTCAAGGTAGTCTACGTGTTCAAGGCCATGCTCTTGAGGAACAAATTTCATTATTTATTGAATTGGACAAAGAATTGAAACTTTGATTTGTTCAACCTTTGTTATTCCTACTTATTGAACAATCATGCAGCTCCTTGAAACTGACATAGAATCAAGGTATTTTCCCAGTGTGCATCCTACTTTTCTGAAGAGTTTTCTTCTGTGATATTTGACATGCTTGTTCACAATTAGTTTTCAATTTCACTACACATATTTATCTGTTTGAAGTAAATGCTTCAAGGGGGGATATTTTGTGGTGAATCTTCCATTACTGGTTATGCTAGGTACCTCATACTAATTAAAGAAATGATATTATGGAGGAGAGCATCATCACTGATTTTTTAAGGAAGTGCTATTTTTAGATGTAATTTTAAAGTTATTAATTAGAGCAAGAATTTTATCTATTTTTTAGATATAAGACTGGTTATGTGTTGGATCATGCTATGTTCCTGACAAGTGTGGGATCATTCTTTCCCCTTTATTTTCAATTTCAATTGACTTCATAAATGACAGCATTCATTTTAAATCAAGAACAGCATTTTTTTTTTTAAATTTACCAGAGTGTGTGTATGCTCACTGGAGAAAAACAGAAGGCAGAGGGCAAGAAAGCCCCCCTCCTATGAGGCATGGTCTTGCTACAATGCCTTCTCTTCCATTTCTCTCTCTGTTTAGGACTCTGAGCATGTATTGTGTGCTTCCTGTGTGAGTCTTTCAAGCTGCTGAGTTTGGGACTCAAACCTCAGCCGTACAGAATCCGACTCACGTAGTCACAAGGCCACAGGCTGGCCCCCAAATCTGCTTTTGTAGTGTTTCTTCTGTGAGGTCATGCTATTATTTAAGGAGAGTCAATAGTATTTATTGAACATCTGTTCTATGCTAACAGCATACTTCAATACGAGTAGAATGCTAAAAAGCATGACATGACAAATACTGGTTTTTGAGTGTTGAGAAAGCCTTCCGTGTTTTCTAGTCCATCGTCCCATACACAACCACCGTCCACTCTGCAGCATCTTCAATGGTATATGCCACAGCGCAAATGGTATCTTTTAATGCTCTAATAATAGCAAAGACTTATAGACCACTTAACAGGTGCCAGGCCTTCTGCTCCAACTTATTTACACACACCAATTCATTTCATCCTTTCTGCAGCCCTATAAAGTAGTTACCCTGCTCATAGGAGAAAAGCTGAGTGAGACACAAAGAAACTTGACACGATCAGTTCTTGATAAGTAGTTGAGCTAGGCTTCAAACCCAGGCAGTCCTGTTCTGCATCTCTGTGTTTAAGCTATAGTTGCATGTCTGAGCCAGAAGCTCTTATAATCCAGGTGGGAGCAGGTGAGTGTCTGAACACGGATGCCATGTGAGTGATGAGAAAGGAGTGGATCTGCGAAATCCTGTAAAGAATAAACAAAACCACATAAGTGATTGGATTTACTCCAAGGAGAACAGACATGCCGAAGAGTCCCCAGAGATCACTAGCTCATTTTATTTTATTTTTTTAAGAGAGAGACTTTTGCTATCAGGCACATGCATTTGCCACAGAGTCAAAAAGAGATCGAGAGAAAGAAAGTAAGAAAGCGCCTCCCCAGGGAGGATATCCATGCCACAATCCCCTCTCCTCCATTCTCCTCTTGGGATCTTGGACGCACATACACACACACGCACACACACACACACACACACAGTCAGCATGAGTTTTAAGTCATTGGTTCTGGGACTCAAACCATGGTCACTTACGTGAGAGTCTTTAAAGGCTGAAAAACCAATGATGTGCTCCCTGGTTTGTGCGGTGTTTGATATGTGAAATGGTCTAGAGAAAACTTGAACTCAGAGCCTCGATCTGAGCTAATGGGGTCAACTCCAAATGACTCATGTGACACACGGGAGGTGAGGAAATGGCAGCACAGACAGTGCGGCGTGGTGGACACACATAGCATGTGGAAAGAGAAGAGGCAAATACAAACTCTGGTGCTGATGCCAACATCGTTGTGACACCATCCAAGTTATTTCACTTCTCTGAGCCTCAGTGTCCTTTCCTGCAATTGGTTTCTTGTTATTGTCACAATACAGAAGTCTAGAGTTGAAGTGGTACACCAATGCTCGGATTGCTAATTAAAGACAGGATCAAGGTTATCTGCCTCACCCAAGCTGTGGCGGTTCAGGTTGTACAGTGCTGGAAGCCACGTGGTCAGCCCTGAGTTTGGAACCTGAGTCAATCTGAAATATGTCCTGCATGACCAAGAACTTGACTAGCTGGAGGGCTGGGGGAAGGGAAAGGGATTCTAGTTTGAGGAGACCCTGTCAAGAGGGCCACTCCTTCTCTCAGTTAAATGAACTTTAAAAAATTATCATCTATACACACCAAAATTAATCAAGATTTTTATAAAGTGATTACAAGCCTAAGTGAACCATCTTTTAAAACGTATTTCTCTGAACAATATTTATTTGGGAGCAAGAATAATCACAGTAAGTCAGAGCCGGGATGGTCATATGATAGAGTCCAAGTCAGTATGCTTGGAGAGTAAAACTGGATGCTATTAATAAAGGCATTCAGAACAGCCATATTCTGGTGTAATTCTGGGACTGTCATAGGAAAAGAGTACAAGTGGTCGCCCTCCTCACAGCCACCCAAAGAGGTACTATATTTCTCAAAGGTCTTTGTAGAAATCACATCTTCTGGTTTCCAGTTCGTTTTTTTGTTTTTCTTTTAAGAGAGGTTTTTGCTATAGAGCACGTGCACTCACCAGTGAGACAAAAAGTGAGAAATCATTCTTCAGCTGCCATCTCTTCTCCTCCCTTCTCCTCTTGGGATTTTGGGCACGCACACACATACTCCTGGTGTGACTTTTAAGCTGACAGGTCCAGGACTTGAACCACAGTCCACTACATGAGAGTCCAGCAACATAACCGTTATGCCATCTGCTGGTCCCCTGGTTTCCAGCTTTGAATGAAATCCCCTGCGGTGGGGAGGGTAGACTGGGACAGGATTTCCAGCCAGGCCCTTTTCGTGGACGTCCCTCCACACTCTCTTCCACAGTTCCCAGCCCACCTTTCTCCTACTCTTCCTGGACTGTCCATGACACTCAAGCCACTGGGATCGTTTGCTGGTTTAGAAGAGAAAGGAGTGTCTTATTACTTGAACATACCTGGCATCGTCTCTCTTGTCTTAC